ACAAGGTAGCAAAAACTTCTGAAATGATAACAAAATAACTTTAACATATTATACCTTCCATGTAGGGATCAAACACGGAGGGGATTTTACGTTCCTTTCCAGGCAGTTTCCTCCTTTGAAGTCGCAACTTCTTGGCCTTCACCAAAGGTCCTTCGTAGACTTCCAGCGTTTATTTTCACATGTGTTCCAACTGTGTAAACAAGTACCACTTGATCAATTGCATTTATAGTTACAAAACAATATACACGATGACGTATTGAAATGTTCAACGTAGCCTTTTTTAGATATATAACTTTTTTGCAAAGGCATTTCTGCACCTATGCAGTACTTCTATCAGCAACAAAGTACTATAACTTAATTCTTAATCAAGTTAGGAAAACTTGCTAACTAGCCTAGATGCTCTGCTTCATGTCAGATGGCTTAAAACTTTAACTTGAAACTCAGAGAAATCATAGAACATATTTGATAAGATCAGATAATTACATACATAAGTTGTCTCTTCTCGTAATAGTAACATTCATATGTGCCAGTGCTACCACAAAATTGCATGTAGTTTCTCAATGCTGATCCATGACAATAAATGGAAGTAGGGTAGCGAGAGACATGACATGAAAAGCACAGTTAAAAGATATAACGTGGAAGAAGATATGGGAAAATTTTTGCATATGCAGCATATAAAAAAATCCTTTTATACATTCCTTTTATAAAACAAACATTAAGTTAGATGACAAAAGAGTCCCAAAAAGATTTTCACCTCTAATGAAATTCCTGAAGCTAGCTGAAAATCTTGCACAGAAGCAAATCATACATTATTTCCAGACAGATTTTATGAACAAGCTTGTATCAAATCACAAGCTGATTCTACTCTAGCCAGAACAATGATAGAATTCTTGCTTTGCAACAAATAATATTCTTTGTCCAGAAAGATGTGTAAGAACAAGCTTTCATCAGAGGATGGTCAATTCAAATCTTGCTGCAACAATGACATCTATCGTTGCTGCTTATAGCTTTGCCCCCTGCTCCTGAACACATCTTGCTTGAAATGAACACCTCAGAGAACAAATTGACCAGGATCTGAGCATTGAACAAGTTTTTTCTTCTCCAACCATGATACCAACACAAAACCATGATATATAACTCACCTCCTCATGTAGGCTGTTAGAGTCTACGACATAAGATGTGGCAATATCAAACTATCAAGTCCACAGAAAAACTCCATGTATGTATCATCATCACCAAATATCTTCGAGAAATCATCGAAAATTATAAGATGTTGGGCCAAGTAGCTGTAAATCTCTTCTCAACCAAGCAAATTTGTTCCACTTCTTTATCCCATACACATCTTCTGTGCTTCAGTATCTGATATATCCAGCAACTTAGTTGTGTGTTCATTTTTGAAATAAACTTCAGGAATAAGTCTTGTCCCAACAACATCCAAGTGCAATTCAGTAACCAGGTGGGTCTTTCCAGAGCTATAAATCCCCTCGAAAACCTCAGTAAGCAGAGTCTCATCAGGTGCCATATATCTCCCCAACATTTCCTTCAACAACTCAACCGCGCCTTCATAGTCCTTGTTCTTGCAGAAGGTATATATCAACAGCCTAAATGTATCATTGTTTGGAGTACACCCGCTTCTCTTCATGGCCTTGTAAATATCAAGTGCCCGCTCAGAGTTTTGCCTCTTGCATTGTCCAGTAATGAGAGCAGCAAAGGTCGACGCATTTGGGACAAAATTTTTTTGATCGAGCACCTTCACTACATGGGCGGCCTTCTTTGTCTTCCCTTCATTGCAAAGCCCCAATATAAGAGCATTGTACGTTACAATGTCGACCTCAATACCATCTTTTACCATCTCCTCATAAAGCCTCGAGCCCATCTCGCTGTTGTTCATCTGACTATAACCATTTATCAAAGTGTTGTAGGTCACCGTGTTCGGCCTCACCTCGGCGGCTTTCATCTCCTGGAAAACCCTGTTAGCCTCATGCAACTTGCTTTCCTTACAGAACCCATGGATGAGAGTATTGTAGGTGATCACGTTCGGCTCCAAACCTTTACCGGCCATTGTGTTCTTGAGCTTCACAGCATGCCCCGTGACTCCATTTTTGCATTGAGCATCGATCAAGGTATTGAAGGAAGCAACGGTAGGAGTGAATCCCATCCCTTCCATTTTATCGAACAGGTCGAGAGCCTTGTCCAGCTTCCCCGAGTTACAGAGCGCGCGTATGGCCATGTTTAGGGTGTAGACGTTCGGCGAGATCCGACACCGATGCATCTCCCGGTAGAAGGCCAGCGCAACGTCAGCCCGCCCCAGATAGAGCAGCGAGCTCAAGAAGGCGTTGCAAGATTTGATCTTGGGGAGGAACCCGTAGTCCCGCATCAGCCGGAAGGTCTCGGTGGCCTTCCTGAGCTTGCGCTCGTGGGCATAGGCCTTGAACATGGCGTCGAACACGGCGGGCGTCGAGTCGCAGAGGCGATACGTGCGAAGCACCGCGTCGAAGAGCTCCGAGGTGGAATTCTGGGTTCGGGGGATCAACGACTGGCGGAAGATGGACTCGGCGGCCTTGAAACGGCGGGATTTGGTGAGGTTGTGGAGGACGATGGCGTGCGTATCGAGGGAGTGGGAGGCGGGGGTGCCGTGGAGGAGGGTCCAGCGGTAGAACTCGAGGGAGAGGATAGGGTCGCAGCGAAGGCGGAGGAGGAGGTGCGCGGTGCGGAAGGGCGTGAGGGAGGGGGCGAGGGAGACGAGGGCGGGCCAATCGGCGCGTAGAAGGTGGCTGTGGGCAACGGCGACGAAGTCATGGTCGGAGCCGCGGGGGTCGGCGAGGGAGCGGTGAGGGATGGGGAGAGCGGAAGCGGCGGAGGAGGAGGAGGAGGAGAAGCGGCGACAGGCGAGAGATCTCATGTAGGGTTTGATGCCCACCTTCTTTGTGTGCTGCCGTGGGTTCCAATTCGCGACTCGACCGGATCGAGGACGAGAGGATGAACGGAGCCAACACTCATAATTTTCAACAGAACTCAGGCAGACTGAATCACCCCTGAAAGATTCCATGAGGGTTGATGACTAAGGGCGTAACCTGGCATATATATTATATCTCTCCCTGCTGATTCAGCCGTGACTGAGTTTTTCGAAATAGATAATAATGTTGTGTTATCTTTATGGACATGAAAAAATAGACTGACTTCCAATGAAAAATCATCACTTAAAATCCATAAATACTTTTGTTGTAGAAGTATCAGCTTGATTTTATATAAGAGAAATAAATACTTTTCGATGGATCGCCCATTCGATACATGTTAAATAGGTTGTTAAAGACTATTAAGAATTATTTCTCTACATAATATTGTATTCTTTTATTATTAGAAAAAAATCATTTTTGACATGATTAATAGAGGATCATTTTTTATTATTCATCGTTTTTTTTTTCTGAAGTTATTAATTTAAACATTAAAGGAATCAAATAAGGAGATATTTTTTAATCTCGATCTTTGTACAATAATAAGAGAGATCTCATACTCTTTATTCTCAAGTTATTATCAAGTTATTAACTTAATCATTAAAAAAATCAAATCAGAAGACCTTTACATTAAAAAGATCAAATAAGAAGATCTTTTTAGACCTCTATATATCGATCAAGATATTAACATCTTCTAATAATAAATTCTGAATCCAAATGATAATATCAAGATTATTAGAAAAAAAAATAAGAAAAAAAATCAATACTCTTAACTATTATTGTTGAGAAATGACCACCAAGTCATTCGTCCGTCATTAAATGAATAGAAGGATTAAAAAAAAGATTAATAGGTATTATGATCAAACGGGAATTGACGGTAAAATAAAATTGACATTTAACATAATAATATCTTTATCTATTATAATGTCCATTTTTGTTGGATATTCAATTTGGATCAATATCAATTCATGCTTGATTGGTGTTAATTTCAAGGTCAATGTATGAATTGTAACGTTAACAACATTCATGCAAATACACCGTTAGAAGCAAATAAGTTATTTGATACATTTGAAAGAAAATGTTGTATATATGCTAAAAAATAATTTAAACAATGGTGGTATTAAGAAGAGTAATAAACATTTTTTACATGCCACAATTAAGCTGTTACCACTCCCAAAAGGAAAAATTATTCATGAACACAGCAGAACAGCCCCCACAGGAATCACCATCAGCACTAATCCATACAATATTGTCTTATTATAAACTTATTCATTACTCATCAAATAATGAAACATTGCAGAGTCGAAATCCAACTCCAATGCAAATCATCCGCAAAATATATCTAACAAAATTTCCCTGATAAAATCAAATCCAGATCTTTGAGGGCACTTTCTGTTTTTGTTCTGCATAATCACTCATGAATGACCTATACATTCTGTCCGAGTACGATGAAATGCCTTGAGGAAACTGCATGAGAATCCATCCTTAACAAGCAGACCCTGCATACTAAGAATTTGGGCTGATACGATCCATTATAATCCAGTAAAAAAAATGTATTAATATTGGAATTGTGTACTGAAGGTTCAAATTTCCTCTCAGATCCCTCAGAAGTATAATTTGATCATTGGAGACAATGGCTCTGCACCAATTGCAGTTTATCATCCAGCATTGTAACATCCAAGTAGATTATTATTCATCTTGCAGGTTTGGCAAAACAGAAATTGCAGAACGTTCACCTCTTCAGTTTTTAATCACATTTTATCCTTGACTTCTTTTGCATCTCTTCTTAAACAATCTCCACATTGTTGAATACCAAATTAGTTGCACAACCATAGTAATCATGTGTATGTTTTAGTAAAAAAATTAAAAAAAGAAGCAGCAGCACACCTTGTCTAAAGGAAATAGCACCACTGACAAAAGAAAGGCACAGTCCGGACATGCAAGTTTCAATTAATCAGCCATCTGCGAGTGGATCTTTAAACATGTACTACATTATCAAACTTGGAAGTTCATCAGAAAGCATTAATTTTTCACGCATGGCAAAATGTATATCAATATGCAGCACAAGTATCTTCCAGGCTCATTTATTTGTAATAAAAAAACTTTACACCTTGTGTCCTAATATAAACTATAGCAGGAGAATTATGTGTAATCCTAAATATGTTTCCAACATAAATTCAAATTCACATTAAAGGAGTGCCAGATTCAACTCTAGAGAAGAGGCTTCAGCAATGCACAGAGACAAGTAAATAAATAAAAATGATTATCTTCAGAGTATATCATCTAAGACACTTCAAAACCTCACTATCATAGCAACAGAAACGAATAAAAAAGTTGAAAAATCTACAGTATAAAAATTTAACTTGGAAGTAACATGAACAATTTGATTTTCAAAAACACAAATATTAAGTTTGATACCATTTTCTAAAGCATATCTACAGATCAACAAACAAAGACTCCCAAGAAACAAATAGATTAAAATACTAACATGTTGCCAAACTCAATTGTAACAAAATTCCTTGACATAGGCTCAGAAGAAGTATTACAATCATAGAAATGCCTCATCTGTCGAGACATATAAGTAAATCTTCATCATAGCTAGTCTTGAAGCTGAACGTCAAAGAAAAGAAATCTTATATAAGCAAAAGCAAGAAAATTCTACCTAACAAAAATATATTTATAGTCAAGTACATTATGGAATACATCAATTTTGTAATTAATTGAAATAAAAGAATGACATTACAACTACTGTCAACAGTTGAACACATGTGAAAGCATATGCCACAATCATATATATGAACAGCTTGAACTGAAACTAGCAAACAAAGGTTGAAAAAGATTGTGGAAGCAAAAAAAAGTGGCATCAGATAATAAGCGGAGTTATCAGTCCACACCATGGTTCAGTGTGTAGGATAAGATTTCAAATTCACATCACTTGCCACCCACATACGAGAAAGTTAGATTTGAAAGCATCTCTATTTTGAAGGTTTAAAAATCATAATAAACTCATCAAGAGTACACACGTTTGTATAACTAAATCATACTTGAGCTGGAATAGTGCAAAGCAAGCATAAGCACTACTCTAATGAATAAATCTGCATGACACAAGAAAAAAGCATCATATAGAATTCCTTTTACATTGAAAGAAACATAGTTCCGTTTTAATGGTGACAGCTTAGCACATTACAAACATTTGTACATATACTAAAGCATACATAAAATCAATCTTTGCAATGCCTAAAAAACGCAATTAACAGTAAAGTTAGCATAAGAAAAGATTGAAAGAGAGGGCATCAGATAATAAGCGGAGTTAATGGTCCACACCATGATTCAGTGTGTAGGATAAGATTTTAAATACACATCATTTGCCACTATCATGGGAGGAGAAAATTAGTGAAATCCTTATATTATATTGATGCTTGACAGGAATTTCGATCGGACCATTTGACACCAGAGCAATAACTAGACGCATGCAATGGGCTGGTAAGTCAACCATTTGTATTTCTGCACCCGTTATATCCCCTCAGATTCAAAGAACAGCAGAGAGGAGGGTAACTGGTGCAATTTCAAGGATATCAAATCAAGGAAAACTAAACCTAATTCAAATGTAACAAAAATGTGGGTTGATATTGCTCAGAAGAATCACAACAAATCATACACACCAAGTGGATCTCATATGTCCAGACATAAAACAAAAAATTCTTCATCCTAGCGCATCAACCACGACTATTAGATAAAAGTTAGATCTGTACCAACAAATAATACATGTAAAACTACAGTAATTGTGGAATCTCTCTCAGATGCCTTCAAGAGAAAGCATATAAGGATGCAGACATTCAACACGGCATCAGGTTCTGACCGCCCGTCTGCTTCTTCTCTCGTCATCGAGAGCAATAACTCGACAGAAAAAAAAAAATCGAATTTTTATCGGAACTAAAGGAATAAAAAGCACGGGAAAGAGTGGAAGAAAAGGCGCAGTAGAGATCGACAAGAAGGGCGATGAAGTCCCTCTCAGATGCTTTCAAAGAAAAGCCTACGAGGACGCAGACATTCAACACGGCATCAGGTTCTGACCGCCCGTCTGCTTCTATTCTCGTCATCAAGAACGACAATTCGATCAAAACCACAGGATTTCGGTAGGAACAACGAATGGAACGGAGAAACAAGGGAACAAAAAACCCAGGCTCCAAGACGAGCGGAAAGGAGGCGGATGGAGCGATAGATCGAGTGAGGAAGGAGGGGTACATTTTAATAGGGCTTCACCGGGTGGAAACCCTAAAGCACTATATATAGGGTTTCTTTGTTCTATCTTGGGTATGATGGGCTGTAGATGGGCCACTCTCTTTGGTGACGGCCCAGCTGTTTGCTTCCCACTTACAGTCAAACTGGTCAACGGACAGTACGGCACGATGACGAGATACGAAATCCTATATATAAAGCCCTAAGCACATAATGTCTGAACCGCAATAGAATTAGCAGGTCACATATACACATCGCATGGAGAATGCCTTCTATAACTTTTTGCTGCCATTTGACCCACGCCGGGAATCGTTTACACAATGCATTCATTCTATCACAACTGCCACAGATCTTACAGTGTCTATGAATACATCCATGTAGATCAGTGAATAGGTTTTCGATCGAAACAAGAGTTAGAAGAGGGAGCATTAGCAATCCCCTCGTTGAGCTTTATATAACAGTTAAATCCAACGATGCAAAGGTGCAAGTTGCATTGATAGGAAGCAGTACTTCGGCCAATGCTACATGAGTATGTTACATATTATCCTTCTGGTTAATTATGATTAGTATTTCGATCCTTATATTTTAAAAAGTAATATTGTAATATCTATACTTACGAAAATAAAATATTTAATTATGATTCTTCTTACGTTATTAACTTCATCAATGGGAAAAATAATATATATTATCACATGCAAAAAGGACACGAATGAAAAGGATAAAAATATAATTTTATTCTTTAAATTATTAATTTTATATAAACTTCTTATACCTATCTCCTCCTCCCCTTCTCTTTTTAACATGCTCACTCACCACCAGTTGCATTCACTCATCGACTTATAGGTCAATCATTACTGATAACTCCTTCCCAAAGTCTCTTATCCATCGCTCCGTCATGTCTAGGTGCAAACTATCGCTCTTCGATAAGAACGCATGGGCCAGGATCCCTAGCACCCCATTGTCGTGGTTGCCACTATAAAACCTCACCTTAACGTTTGTTACTTCATACTTTACCAACTCCATGAATCGCATCTCCTCCTCTCCTCTTTCTAACTTGCTCGCTCATCGCTCGCTTATCGCTCGTCGAGGGCAAGTAAGTGTGGCAGCAACGGGCTAGCAAGTTGGAAAGAGGAGGGGGAGAGAAAATTGAACAAAAAGTTTATATAAAATTAATAATTTAAAAAATAAAATTATGTTTTTATCTTTTTTATTCGTGTCTTTTTCACGTAATAATACATAAGATTTTTTTCATCGACGAAGTTAACGACATAAGGAGAATCGGGGTTTAATATTTCACTTTCATAAAGATAAAAATCCCAATACTACTTTTTAAAGCATAAAGATTAAGATACTAATTATAGTTAACTATAGGAGGTAATCCATAATTTAATCTCCCTGTTTTTAAGAAATTACTCATCGCATGGACAGAATTGGATATATTGTAGAATCATATATTAAGACTCATTGTGAAGAAATTATATAAAACTAGAAGCAATTAAGCAACAATATTTTACAGCTCACCTTAGTTTTCGTGATGAAGACATGACTAACATAATAGTTGAGCATCATATTTATGTGAACCTTTCTTAACCTCGACAACTTGCTTAACCTTTCTTGGACCGAGAAGATCAAAGAATTTGCTACTTAATTCAAGTAGATTGTCTTGGTTCATCTGATATTCCAATGATGATGAGATATCCTTTAACCTATAGTGTGATGTTAATTGTACGGAATCAAGAGGAGAGCTCTATAGAAATGCATGTGAACCATTCTTTAACAGTAACAGGACAATTGGGAGAGGTATAGGCTTGTAATCTGCTACTGAACCTAGTTGGAACTGTTCTGATACTGCCAAAGAATGATTCTGCGAGAACCAAGTGCTATTAATACTGCTAAGAGGATTGTTGTATTCAAGAGACCTTCAAAGTGATCAACCTTATGGACATCTTGTACTGGGGCTCACACAATTGCCATTAGAACACATGATTTAGTTTGAGAAGGGTGTCATGCATTATTGAGTTTTGTAATGTCACCCCCTCACTAATCAGGTCTTCTTCTGAGGAGTTACTGAATAATTATTGTGCATATTTTGTGAAATTGATCCTAACATAGCTGGCAAGAATTATGATACTTTAATTGTCAATTTATTTGGACCGGTGATTGAGAATCTGTAATTAATACATTGTCTATCAGTATAAGCTGGCTGTTTCAATAAAAAGCCAACTTTCTAATTAGTATTTGTTTTCAGGAGATTAGTCTCTATCTTTTTATTATTATCATATGAATTTCTCACAACTTTACTTTTTTATAAGAATTTGCAATTAAAAAAAAATGCATTTCTCTTATGCTTGTTGTATGATTTTGAATCTTCACAACTGATATAAAAGCCTTAAGAACAAGGAAATAACATCAAAGGAGTATCTTAAACCAAATAAAACAGATCAGAATAAAAAAAGATCAGCATAATACAAGGAAAGGGATATGTTAAACTGAAGCAAGAGTCTCTTGTGGCACCAAATCTTGACAATTCCATGGGGGAAAACACAGGAAATCCTTCCATCCTCTCTGTTCTAGTGCTGTGATTTCCTAGCTCTAAAGATCCCATCCAATGTTATAGAAGATGGGACAGAGTACATCCATCAATGCACACCAGGAGAAATCCCATAAAACAGAACTAAGGTGAAAAGATTGCCTTCAGCTGAGGTCAGTGCCTATCAAGGCAAGCTACTACCTTCTCTCTCTGTGCCTCAGCCACCACTCTTCTCCCACATCCTTCCACAAGCTCCTCTATTTTCAGTCTCTCTGATTGCTTTTGTCACCCTCCTCCTTGGTTTTGCCAACCAACCTGCAGGCCGCCAGATTTATGTCTTTCTCATCTCTTATGGATGGTCTACTTTGAGTCCTCGCAAGCTGAAAGATTCTAGTTTGCGACATGGTAAGACCAGTGACACAAGCCATGCTACCTCAGTGGAGAAAAGGAGCAGCTTCCATCACCAGTCACTTTATTTCAAAAAGTTACATCGAAGAATGAAAGCCCATGCTGCTTACAAGAGCATAATAAAGTGTGCTGTAGGTCCTCAAAGAAGCTTGTAGAAGCCAAAAGAAAAGGGACAAGTCACCATAATAAATTTGGACACACCATGCTCCCTGATTCCCTCCGAGACGAAGCAGAGTGAGTAGGGATACAGATATGCATCACTGCATCAAAGCTTGTTCAGCCAAATTTACCTTGCAGCTGAGTGACCAATTGAGTGGAATAGCTTCATGATGAGGAAAAAGATCTGAACTTTGTTGAGCAATGCTGTAACTTTGGAGATATATCAGTTTATCTTGGTTTATCGAACTGTCCTTTCCATGCTATTGCTTTAACAGTGGCTAGTCACATATTTCCTGTTATTGCATTGATTGAGCTTCTTTACCAGGAAGGAGACCATGCATAGTCTGACATGAACATATAAAAGCCTCATTTACACCATGCTGACAGCCTTAAATATGCCTACAAGAAAAAATTTCTATTGTGTCAACTAAGATTCCAAACAAAGGCTACAGTCCTCAAAGCTGGTTCTAAATGTCATGCTTGTCAGAGATGAGAAGCTACCGATGAAATCATTGGGAGGGAACGGTAAAATGAGACACACAACAAATCTTGCCGAGAAGAAACGTTGGGATCTTACTTTGTGACTATAAGATGAGTAGATAGCCTTGAAAGGAGTGTTTTAGTGCTTGATGTCTCAGAGAGATGACAGAAGTCCAAAACAACTTGTCACTTCTGAAAGATGATGCTGAATCCTGTCAGGATATTGCTAGCTCCAATTAAAACAGTTTGTCTTTTCATGAAGACCTTGAATGAGAGAACACCTACCATTACTGGAATTCCCTACGGCCGAGGCTTGAATGCCAAATCCATGTCTGAATCATCTTCTTTACTGCTTTGCGTTCTGTGCTGGGAGTTTCCACTCGATGAATCAATGCCTAAGCAGAAAGCATTCATTTCCTATTTCCATGAGGGATGCATTTGGCTTCAAGTTATTCGCACAGTGGAAGGATGGGAAGCGAAGGATGGACGGTCGAGATTCCACGGCTGTGGCGGGAAAACCCGTAGTGGCGCCGCCCGTAGATATTTTTTTCCCGGGGTTCGTGGCTGGACGGCGGTTGTCGGACGGGGGAATATAAGTGATTTTCCTGAGATCCACTTTGGACGTACCCGTTGTCATGACGAATGAAGCGTCAGATGTGGGGCCCGATTGCACCGTCCTACTCGCCAATCAAAGATCGAGTAACAAACTGGTCCTAAATTGTCGGTGACAAGAAGGTATAACGGACCGCAAACGGACGCCTCTTCCACCGTCACGTGGAAGGAGGACGAGAGATAAGTTTACAACACCATATGGGTCCCGCCTAACGGTGACTTCTCCGTCACGGTCCCCTGTTCCTCCTTCCCTTATTACCCTCGCCAGGCCACCATATTGACATCATCACCATCCATTACATATATGTGAATCTTTGCTTCGTCGTTGTTCTCAAATAAAAATTATAAATAATTTATATTATTTATATATAAATAAATAATACTGCATCTTATTGTTGAGCGTTTATTCGTTGACAAAAAATCTTCGATGCATTTCTTATCCAAATGTTATTCAAAAATTTATATACTAAAATGAAATATAAAAAATATAAAATACAACTAAAAATTTGAAACAGATAATAAAAAGTCAAGCGGGTTCGAACCAGAAGAAGTATGGGGTAAAATCGTCATTTTAGAAATATAACGCTCGTCCTCCGTAACCGCTATCTTCGAATCCGAGGAGCGCCGGGGTTCACCACGCCCCTGCTATACGTGGCAGTACTCCATTGGTTCTACAGTGGTCGTCGGGATTCATGGCCCCGAAAGAGACGCACACAATAAAAGGTGAGAAAAGACGATGAGCGAAAAGAAAACTCGCTCACGCACACTCCGACACCGTCAATCTCTTTCAAATAATTCCCACCAAATTCTCTCTAATTGCTTCCAAAATTCCAACCTTTTATCGCAATGCTCGATCGCCGCATCCAATTTGGCGCCTGGATCTGATTCCTTGGATTTTTCCGACACTTTCTGGTGAAAGTTGAGGTGGAGGGGAGCGGGGGGAGCGGGAGGGGTAATTAATGCTGGCGATGAGCGGCGGATGCCAACAGGGCTGCGGGGAGAGCAGCGAGGAGGAGCTATCGGTGCTTCCGCGGCACACTAAGGTGGTCGTGACCGGCAACAACCGCACCAAATCGGTTCTCGTCGGTCTCCAGGGGGTCGTCAAGAAGGCCGTCGGTCTCGGCGGATGGCATTGGCTGGTAAATTGCGTTATTTGCTCGTTCCCGGTTGGATTCTGGGCTTCTCTGCAAGGAAAGATTGTTCTTTTCGGAGATTTTCAGTGGTGTTGGTGCTGAATTTTCTAGGGTTTCAGTCCCTACAACATTGGGGTTTCCTTTTTTTGCGTTTTAATTGTGCAATGTGGTCCAATTTAATGTATCTAGAGTTCGAATTGATGGGTCTTTTTCTTGTTTTCTAGTAGTAAGAAAAGGACAGTTTGACCGTGTGGATTCTGATAATGAAAATGATCGTTTCTGTTTGCCTCTTCTTTTCTTGTAATTAAAGCTGCATTTATGTAGGCAATTACAGATTTAGTGATTTAAGGTGGAGTTTGATCGAAAGATTAGGGTTCTTATATAACTTAAATTTGTTTGTATCATTTTTGCAATCTTTCGGTTTCTGCATGCGAAAGTTCTCTAATAAAATTTTACTGCTTCGTCTCTTTAACATTTCTATTTTATCTAAGATGTTGTTAATTTTCTTCGATCTTAGTAATTATAATAGAAAAATGCTCTGTTGGCTTTAAATGTGGACGGCACTTATGGTGAATTTTCTTCCGCTTTTTTTTTTTTTCATTACATTCTCAGCAGATTAGTGGTTTGTGTTAGTAGATATGGAACTTTGAAAGGTGTAATTGGTTAATGACGATTGGTTTCTCAAATGCTATAACGACATTTTTTCTGTTTTTGGTAGATCTGAGGTTTAGTGTAATGATAAGTCAGTTCTTGTGGTTGGGCAGAGAAAGAAAAGGAAACGAAAAAGAGTTTGACTTTTTTATATAGAAATTAGTTTCTTATTTCGTAGGAATTGTATTTTTTAATTAAATTTATTAATTCAATATTCATTTGATATAAATATTCTTTGATCTGAACTTTCTTTTTTGGTCCCTTACATTATATATAATATATGCTTCTTGCTAATTTTTCATCAGTATTCCTTATATGGACCCTAAATTAATCTTTTTTTCCTGCATTACTTTGGATTTTATGTGCCCAAATTTGCAAGTTTTAATTGCTACTGATATCATCCATCTGAGTGCATTATACACCAAATCTGAATGAACTCAAGTAGAAATTTCTGAAAATTATCTGATCATTGTAATCTGATTTTTCTGCTGCTTTGTTTGCATGATCCTGTTCTTATGCATATTTGTTCTCTTAGGATGAATCTACTTTTGCTGGCATAGTTGTCAAAATGGAAAATGAACTGGATTAATTACTTGACTGAAGATGCATGATGTTTTATGGAGAAAACATTATTGTTTATTAGTAGTTCTGATGCTCAGCAGGACATGAAGGCCTACTCCCTATCTTTCAGGGTTGCAGACTGAACTATTGTTCAGTTTAGCTTAAAGCTTTTACTCTAAGTTTGATCATTTGCTACCTGGGAGACCAGGTTCGAGTTACGAAAAAGACTTCTCTATATTTAGAGATAAGGCTACATACATTGACCATTCCTAGACCCTGCATTGACCCTCCCTAGATGCACAGGGTATGTCCCCCTGTAGAGCTTTTATTCGTATTTACAAAATTGACTGCACTGCTGTCCTCAGCATGTTTGTTACATGCATGAGGTAGTGAAACCTTGTGATGGCTCTGCACTCATGGTTTTGTGTCTTGAATGAATGCTTGCAACACGTAGTGGCATATTGTGGTCTTGATCGTTGTTCTCTAGATTTGTAGTTAGTTTATGTATCTATTCTTTTCTTCCTAATTGTGGTCAGCTTAGATGAAATCATGTGATAGACATCACATTCTGTGTTTTAGTATGAAGTAATATAATTCTAATTATTTCCCATGAAATTTCAGGTTCTTACTAATGGTATTGAAGTGAAACTGCAAAGAAATGCTCTCAGTGTGATTGAAGCCCCTACTGGCCATGAGGACGATGATGAGACTGAATGTGACAACATGCAATGGAATGGTTCAGATATGGGTAAGCTTACTATTGGTCAAGTCTGTATCAATTATATTTTTTATTTCCTTTCTTCAATTAAAAACGTACCATTTACCAACCATCGATTATGTAGGACCAATTCAGGAGGTATAGTGATCTGTATTATCTTTTAGGTCGAACAAGCTGATGGTTTCAATTTCTCCACAAGATCATGTATTAACTACATCTTCTTGCGTTAAGTAGCTAAGTTGTTTGTTTGTTCAGTTTTGCCCTGGTCTTCCTTTTCCCCATTCTTTGGCCTTCTGTGCTTTATATAAGAGAGAATTTGTAACTGTGTCACAGGATATGGCTTCCAAATAACTGTTATATATTGCAGCGAGTAGGAAAAGATTCGTCTTTCCAACAATTGTTGTATGTTGCTGACTGACTGGTCAAAGACTAAATTGTATTTACAAATTTTGATAATTTTGGGTTTCTTCATATCTATCCTTTAGGAGTTCCTATATAGCATATTAGCTTCAAATTTTAAGGTGGCATATATATCCCTTCAAATATTTAGTTATTCCATATATTCTTCAAATTTAATTCTTCCAAATGTGCTACACCTGTTAGCATTCCTCTAATAAACTCAGGTTAGCCATTGTTGACCAGGGTTACCAATGAGTTCAAAAAAAGTATTAAATTTTTTAATAACTAAAATACCCATTACATTTTCACCTCCTCAATTCCTAAACTTAATTTAAATGAATTACATTCTCACCTTCTGATTTCCTTACTTAAATTTAATGAATATATACAAAAACTACTAATTTAGGAGGTATATAATTTTTTTTTTAAGAGGTAGCAATGTTGATTGGAGTTTTAACATTTTTATGAAAACGGTCTGACTAATGGAGATCAACCATAATGATATATCTGCATGTTTTTGAGTTTTGTTAGGACATATGATAAACTTCAATTTAGATGGGCAAATACCAAAGATACTAATTTTGGAATGATATACATATAATTTTGTCATTTTCTTTTGGACTTTCTATAGAAGTGCAACTTCATTATTGAATCTGAGTCTCTTTTTTCCTCATTGTAATAGAGTAAGTGTTGTTGTAGTACACTAGAGCATGATTATGTAGAAACTGTTTTTGAGATTGATAGTATATATCCATGTTCTTCAGAAACACGATAATACACTAAGTATTATGCTGCGGTTTTATTTTAAGATGACCATGTGGTCTTTAAGTAACTTTGAAGGATATTCCCTGACTCGATTTGCTAGTAGGTTCAATTATGAGGCTACATGTTACTGATGTACATAACTTACACAACCTACTTTCCATATATGTGTTAAAATACTCTTTCATTAGCTAAATATATCCAAAGTCAAGTTTCAATTAGTAAAAAAAATCAATTTTGCATTTCAGCACTTTTTTATAGTTTTTTTTCTTTGAAAATAGGAATGCACTTATGAACCAGGCTGTGAAAAATCCATGTTTTGTTAGTACATCCTGATATATTGGAAGTTTCTTTTATAATAAAGTATCATTGTTGCTGAGATGGAATATGCTTGTATAAAGGCACCTATTACTACTTTGATCAGCGCTCCTGGCATGGTTTCATCATATTTAATTTTTTTTCGCAATCACTTCTTGCAGTGTCTTATGATATGCAATTGCAAAAGCCACATAAGTCAAGGGTTAGGCATCACAAGGGATCGTCTAACAAATCCTTGAGCCGGTCTCTGTCTTGTGACTCACATTCGAAGGGATCTGTTACATCTTCCAGGAGTATAACTGTAAGTTTATATGAACAACTGCAGTGTGAACAGTGTTATGGGCTGGCTCTATTAGACATGATTCAGCATTTGGGTCTTGTTACCTGACATATTATAGAATGCCTTACGAGTGTTTCTGGGTTGTGCCATTGTCGATTGTTATCCTTTGGGTTGCTTTGGTGTGCAAACTTAATGTCAGGATCACTTAAAATGTACCTTGGTGTTACTAATGAAGAGATTCTCTCTGTGGTTGGTGCAGAAAGTTGACCTGAGCAAGCTAGAAACAAGAGCATTATGGAGATATTGGCGTCATTTTAATCTTGTAAGTTAATCTTTACGCAATCTTTTCGTGGTTAACTTTTATATGTATCAGATTTCTCTTGTTGGCGCCGATATGATGATTTTTTCTTCCAGCATATCCTTTTCTTTGTTTTATCTAACTCACGTGCTTTCGGTCTGCATCAGGTGGATGCCAGTCCTAACCCTTCTAAGGAGCAACTAATTGATGTAGTCCAGAGGCATTTTATGTCACAGGCAAGTCTAGTATTTTCGTGTGTGTGTGCATTTGTAATAATAAATTTTATCAAAAAACCAAAAAAGTTGACAATGGATTCTGTGAACCCAATTGCTTGTTGTTTATCCTGAAGCAATTGGATGAGTTGCAGGTTATTGTAGGATTTGTGCAGGCTGCAAAGAGGCTGAAGACTGTCTGCACTTGAACTTGCAAGGGTTTTCTACATTCATGCTAACTTTTGCTGTTTGCAGCCACATTATGTAACATATGTATGTTAGAGCGTGGATGTTGCAACAAACTTGGATGTTAGTTTGGGTAGCTAGAAATTTGTGTCATCCCTATAATGTAGATATGTTTTCTGGTAAGCATCATGCAGCCATCATGGTTCTGAACATTACCAATGATGCACTGCTGACTATGAGGAAGGAATGCATGTTTTCCTTTTAGGTGATAAATCTTATAACTATTAGCAGAAGTTGAAGTTAATGCATGAGTGATGTAGCTTTCGAAGGAATTATGCTGTGGGTCATCACCTGATTGTAGCTGAGACAATGTGATTTCTGCATCCCTCCTATTTGGGGGACCTTTTCTTCCACTTTCAGCTAGGATTTGAACTTCTACTTTGTAACAAAACATATTCGTCTTACTTGAGCTTTACCTATGTTTTATTGTTGAGGATTTTAGTCGATTTATCTATTTAACAAATATAGTGTTAATTATAGTTTATTCTTTATCATTAGTTATTTTTAGTATTTTGATTATTATATTTTTAAAAAAATATATTAATATTTTTATAGTTACGAAAGTGAATATTTATCTTAACAATGTTAGTTTTATCTATGAAAATATAAAAATAAATGATAAAAGATAATTTGAATGTTTAGTCGATGGTGGCAAATAGTGGTGTCGTTGGTGTCAATGTTGATACATTTGTTTGGTTGTTTTTGATAATAATAAGGTTCGTTCTCAGTACGATGTCACTTGCTTTCATGAGGAATATGTTGTCGATCTTATCATTGCTCATCTTGTGTCGTTTTACATCTTGTGTCGAGCGACAACTGTGTCGGCTTAACAATTGAGTTGGTGTTAATGTATATGGTGGTGGTCGTCACAACGTTTATGGCAAAGATGGGCCATCTCGTTGCTAACCCATTGGGTGGATCCTAGCTCCGGGTCTAGGTTGGGATTTGCTCAACAGGTTAGTGGTGACATGGCCATCATCTTTGTTGTAGATGTCGCAATTGCCACCACCATCAATGTTGATGCATATGCATAGCGACATGGGGCGGGCAATAGCGAGGGGAGCGATAGGAGCTTCGACAACCCTAACTTCGGTTGAGGTTGGGAACCACCCAATGGATTAGCGACGAGGTGACCACCACCATTTGCATTGATGTTGATGTGATTGCTAAGCAACGACTCAAGGCGAGTGATAGTAGGGGGAGCGATAGAAGTTGCATTGACCTTAGCTTCAGTTGAAGCTAGGATTCACCCAATGGGTTAGCGACGAGGCGACTACCAACGTCGTCGAAAATGTCGTAGTAGCCACCATCATCTGCATTAACACCAACGTAGTTGTCGCTCAGTAATTGTGTCAGCATCGATGTAAATGCAGAACGGTGCGGGGAGAGCGGTGAGAGGTCGGCACAGGGTGAGTGGTGATGAGGTCGACGACGCACTCCTCGTGCAGGCGAGTGCATCGTGGTGAGAGAGGACCTTATCGTTATTGGAGACGATCAAGCAACTACGTCGACGTCAATGCCAACGATACCATTATCTGTCATCAAATATTACTTTTTTTTCTTTTTATTTTTATATTTTTATCGATAAAATTGATAATGTTAGTATAGATAGACCTAGATATTTTACTTTTATAATTATAAGGATGTGAATGGAATTTTTTATAACTAACTATAAGGTTGTAATTACCCATATGAAAATCCTAACAACCACTTAGTCCTATTATGTCAAGCATGTGGTTTGTGTCAAAAATGACATGTCTCTTCCTTTTCAGAAAGATATGGTAGGCCACCGGTGTTTGCTGGTAATGGTGATAGGCGGTGGATGGTCATCGTCATGTTTCCTTTTTGTTTATTACATAGTGCTTCTCAGAACTTGCAATCCTTAATACAATTATCACAATTTGATCTTGTGCAATTAAACTATGATTTAACCTTCACGATAGAAATTGGATGCAGTCCATGAAGGCAAGATGTAGCGAACTATTTGTAATCTGATTTTAATTCTTGGTTCCAGTCCATGAAGAGAATGTTGAAGGAAGAGAGGAAGAAGAGTCGAAAAGAAAAGGAGATGGTGGAGGCAGGGGAGAGCATGGTTATGAATGTTTTGGATAGAAAATGAAAGGTGTACAATCATTCAAACAAAAGGAGGATTTAACCTTTGGCATTACTTGTTTTTTCTTTAATCTCATTACAAATTCCATTGCAATAATGGTTCATTATATATACATCCTTGGCTTACAATTATAATTGAATCTATTGATGTGTTGTGATTACATCATTAAGAAAAAAATAGTTGATATCAAAGTGACATGAAATCTTCTTTTTTTTGTACAATACAATCACATTTGGGCGACTACCACGGAAGGCCTCAGACGTACAAATCACGTGACGGCCGTACGACGCGGAGTCTCTTGGCGAACCGCGCGCCATCACCGGCCACCGCGCGAGGAGGCTGGGTAACCGAACGGCAGCGAACGGATGGACGCCGAGTCGTTGAGATTCGTGTGGCCGAAGCCGTACGCCCGCAGGACCTGGTCGTCGGCGAAGTTGAGCGCGCGCGCCATGCCGTCCACGCACCCCTGCCACGTGTACGCCGGGTTGTGGTCGCCGCCGCAGGGCTGGCAACCCGTGAAGTGCGTCACGAAGGACCGCCGCTTCCTCGGCCACCGCTTGCCACTCCCCTTCTCCCCCCCGCCGCCGGCGGCCGCGTCGAGGTAACGGCTCCTCGTCTCCCCGTAGCTCCCGGCCTCCTTCTCGGCGTGCCTCCGCCGGAGCACGGCGTCCCGCCGCTCCATCTCGGCGTACGCCGCCGCTACGTCCTCCAGGCGCCCCACGATGGGCTCCCAGTACCCGTGCAGGTCGTACGCGCTCTCCAGGTGCACCTTATCGCGCCAGCGGCGCTGCTCCTTGGCCAGGAGGTGGACGAGAGCGGACTGGTCGTCGGCGAAGGATGTGAGCTTGCCGCGGATCTCCGCGTCGAGGATCCGGCCCCACTTGCCATGGTGTGGGGTCTGGGGACCCATGCTGGCCCAGGCGTCGAGAAAGTCGAGGCCCCACTGGGAGTTTCGGAGGAGGAAGACACCGGCGTTGAGGCCCACCCAGTCGCGGGCGGTGTACACCATGTACGGCCAACCGGGAACCACGAAGTGGTGCGCCCGGTAGCGGTGGAGCGGGGGGCGGAACTCCATGTCTGTGAAGGCCGCGTCCTGGTCCACCCACCACACCCATTCCGACTCCGGGTGAGCCACCATGGCCGCGCGAACCAACGGGATCTTGGCCCAGCACCCGGGCATCTCTGGGTGGAGGAGGGCGGTGTTGTAGAACAGATCGTAGCCGTGGAGGCGGCAGTAGTCGGCCTTGTTCTTATAGAAACGGAGGAGCAGGTGGTCACCTCCCGGGTTGGGGCACCGCCCCGGCGGCGATCCGGTCACCATGACGACCCGGTCCGGGGTGGCCAGCGACGGGTTGAGGCGGAGCCATTCGCGGCGCTTGGAGTCCCAGTTGGTGATGGGGCGGTCGATGGTGTAGGACAGGGAAGGGTCGTCATAGAAGGTGGCGCGTGTGGAACGCCGCCGATCGGGGTCCTTCCGGGAGTCGCGGCGGTGGCTGACGGTGGAGAGAGGAGGCCTCGGAGCGGTGGTGGCCACAGGAAGAGGCCGACGAGGGATACTAGGCGCGAGAGGAGGCCGATGATGGATGATGGTAGGGAGGGGGGTGGGGATGGGGTTCGGCAGGACGGTGCAGAGGGAGGAGGAGAGGGCGGAGACGGAGAAGAGGAGGGCGACGCCGGCGCCGAAGAAGAATAAGAGAAGGCGCTCAGCGACGAGCAAGGTGACGGATGAACGTAGGAAGGACTTCTTTCGAGGGGGAGTCTCGTCCTCCGTTTGCATGTTGTCTTCTACGAGAGAGAGGCATGCAATCCATGGAGGATGAGGAGAAGAAAGAGACACTTCAAGTACGTGCGTGGCACGTGTGCTTCGGGAAACGGGTGAGTACGCGTTCGTACGCGCATGAATGAGCCTTTCTCAATTAAAAATAATAAATATTTAAATTAAAACAAAGAATTGGTACAATAAATGCGTTCACAAAATACTATATATCATCACAAGATTCATCAACAAAGAAGATGATTGGTTCAACAGTAATAATAAAACCCGTAAATCCCTCCCTAATTATTTGGGATTGGCTCAATAGATCAATCTAATAAAATAAATCATATATTTAATTTAATTAAAAACATTTAAATTTTTATGTAAAGTTAAAAAGAATAATTCAGATATCATAGCATGCTACTTTCATGAGTTGCTCCAATGTAAACTACATCATATTCTTTAAACAAGCATGACAGGGCAAAGCATCTTAACTTGTCGATCCAAATATATAATAAAACCATTATAGAAATAATGGGAATAAATATATTATTGCATGAGGAGATGAAAAAATAAATTAAATTTATTTTTTAATTTGTTTTTTCAAGGCATATCGATCAAACAATTAACACAACCAACACCACCATCAGCATAAAAAGCAGTAACAACAAAGTATAATAAAGAGGGGGTTTGATAAACTCATAGGACCAGATATGATAACCGCAGTGTTTCATAAATGTCTATCAGAGCATGTTCTAGAAAAATAATAACTTATTTTTTTACCTAGGAAAAAGAATTGGAGCTCAGCTACAGGATCACCAGCCAAGATTACTTCAGACATGTGAAACCAGGGCCTTTCAAGTGTCTCCAAGGCAACAAAACAACAGTCCTCTGACAAATATGAACATCTTAAGTTAATTTCATGGCACAATACAGAACAAAGTACAAATAATAAACTAAGGACAAGCATACAAGAAACAGAAACTGGCATGCATCTCTGAAAAAAGATATGGCAACCTCCCAAGTTGATAGATACAATATACGGTAGTGCAACCAACTACACAGAAATAACCAGATCAACCAACTACATAAGCCACAAAAGTACAACAGTCCATCATGGAAACTATGAGACCAAAATTCTTGAACATACCAATCATATGCACAGCATGGCGCTTGGGTACTTTTTGTATACAGGTTTGATACTTTAGAACTGTCAAGCACTTTGTTACTTCAAAATAGGTTATCACCTCTTCTGAGGACCTTGTTTTTTTTTTATTTTGGTGTCAGACCATTTGATGATGAACAGGATGGACATATGATTTTTGAAAAATAAAATAAAATTGATGCTTGTATGGAGAATCAGATTATGATTGCATAATTTAGTTGACTCTCTCAGAAACTTTTATTTTACCTTCCATACATCACTGCATAAGTATGTCATTAAAAAAATAGCTTCTCAATAATAAGTTAATTATACACTTTGTTAAAGGTTTATATACAATGAATGTAATTAGCTTTGAAAAATTTTCTATTGTTGTATCTTTGCCATACTGTCATTCAAAATTTGAAAAGTTGAAGCATCAAAATCATGCATCCCATATCTGTATCTGTGATTCACAGCTTGGAACAAAACCTACGCTAGGTAAGAATTTTTAGGCTTGTGCAAAACATAAACCTAACTGCTTGGCCGAAGAAAAATACCATAGCTGATGCCATTTATGAAAGAAATACTAATAAAAGCACAACTTTCAGCTATGTTTTTTACAGCTAATTATAAGATGGTTGATAATCTCAATGTCATTTTTGGATAATACCACAACTTATAACACATTCCCATCTAAGAAATGGTATATTCAAAAGAGTATAGCCTGATAATTGCATTTTATAGCTTACTAAATAAAAATATAGTCCAAAAGCTTGAGAATTTAGCATAAAATCATTTCGACATCAACTGATGAAATATCAACTTAGAAGACCTTGATCTTATTTAAGAAATAAAAATCATAACTCTGTTCCCAAGTATTCAGAAAGATAAAGGACATGTGCCAAAGTTGAATACCATCAAGATCTTGCAGTAGTTTCAAAAGCACTCCTTATATATATATCAAGAATAAAATGATTAACAAACAATTCATCGCCTATTAAAAAATCAGGGCAAAGGTTAAAGGTGAGAAGTGGCATGCAAACAGAAGGATATAACACTATAATGATATTGGAAAAAGGTACAAAGAAGTCTTAAAAATGAACTTAACAGTACCAGAAAAAAGATTTTTCTCGATAGAATGATCATTATTTTTGGTACATTTTATAAATAAAAGGGGTAAGAAATTCCAGTTTTAAGAGTATGAATTTTTTTTTAATACAAAAAGTCATGCGAAAAAGAAGTTGAACTAGAGAAAGAATCACATTTCGAAAATAAAAAATTATTTACTCCCTCAATGAAACTTTATATGGGTAAAAACTAGTGGACCAAGAACTGTGGCATTGGTTTTAAATAAATTGTATGAACAAACAGAAGTTATCGTCATGGATTGGACAACATTTTTCATTCACAAGTTGGCTCAAAAAATCTTGCAGGATGGTTCCATAACAGGTAGTGACAAAATGTGAGGTGAAAGGCCATGGTAAAAATAATGCCCACCAGCTTAAAAGAGACTTGATACTAACAGAAGTTATTGGTTCAAGATATTTGACTTTCAAGTCAAAAAATTGAATTTAGATGAGGAGAACTAAAGGTATTCAAAGCAGTTAAATAACAACTCAATTATTGCAACTGAAAAAAAGATTGTAGGCAGATATTTTGGTCAGACAACATTGACACATTAACATAACATAAAAATTCCCTTACGAAGAAAATTTGCCGGGGCAAATAAACCTTTTCGCCTATAAAGGATAGTTTAATCATAATTCAAAAGTGGCAATAAGAGATGGATGCACAGAGCGCAAATACAAATTAAGCACTTACATATTTTGTTGAATGCCACAATATCACAGCTCTGGATGTACTCATTTGCTGGTTCAACCAAGAGATAGTCCTCAATAAGGTTGTCAACAGAGACCAAGTCATCCACAACAGTCAACATGATCTGCAATTTTTTGATACCATACCCGACCGGGGCAAGTTTTGCTGCATGTTCAACAAGATAAGATCAGATTAAGACAGAAATGTGCTTCCTAAATTCTGAATTGAAGTGAAATGACAAATTTAGCTCCTTGCTGTTCGAGAGAAACGGGCTACATACAGGCTCCCCAAAGCAAACCCTCCATCCCGACACTCCTCACAGCTTCTTCAAGCTTTTGCATGTCTGTTTCATCATCCCATGGTTTTACATCAAGAAGTACTGAAGACTTTCCAGCTGCACATAGGAAAAGATTCTCAGCTCAGACAATGTTTATGATGAGAATATAACAACCAAAATGTATATGTTCATGCTCACAAAATTCAAGGAAAAAACACAACAAGCATGTTTGACAGCCAAAATGCATGCCATGAAACAGAAACCAAACATACCTATAAAAATGCACACTTGAAAATGTATCCAACTTACATTCTTTCTTCTTTCCAGATGCTTTGACAGCTGCTGCACGCTCTTCAGCTGCCTTCTTTTCCTCTTCAGTCTCTTCACCAAACAAATCCATGTCATCGTCATCATCCTCCGCTGCTGAGGCCTGAATTTTCAGATCACAATTAGAAAATTAACTCATCAAGTAACTTATCATATTATATATAGTACATTGGACATACGACAATTTTGAATAGCGTCGTGCAATTTGCATACATAGAAAAATATGCTAAAGCAATGTAACGAAACCAGCAAAATACTATGCACTACAAGGTATTTAAAATTCAAATGTCACCTTGCCACCAGCAACACGGGAGCATGGGGCCTCCTCAAATGATTCAATCTTCACACCATTGCCTTCCTCAGAGATACCACTGATCACATCACATAGGTCAACAACAGGCGATGATCAATACATTCAGATTGAACAAAACCAAGACAAAGCACATACCACAACTTGAGAAGAGCATCAATGTGGTTATACCACCTAGCTACATTGATATAGTCCGAAGACAGAGCTGCATTAAGTGCACCATACACAGCAATATCATCCTTTGAAGCTTGGTAACTGAAACAAACCCAAGCGAATATGAGATACCATGATCGAAGCAGCAGATATTTATCAGCAGGAACCAAAGCATCCAAACACCTACCCAGTAATATAACTGCGGGTAAGAAGATAGTCATTGAGTTTCTGGAGGCCAGACGCACCATTGAGATTGTGGAAAACAACAGCCATTGCTTTCAAATAAATAAATATCCCGCCTCCTGCAGGTACAAGATGGAAAGATCTAAGTTTGGGTATTCCAACGTATAACATCATCAGTTTCACAACCACAGTGCTAAAATTTCAATAAAACAATCACAATATGAGATAGAAAAATATGTCACTATAGTCAATTGTTAGCCCACTTTTAAGTGGATGAAAAAAAGAGACATTTAAGTGTTTTAAAGAAAAAAAACTACCAACTTTGCTAAAAGAATGATCCAATTAAAACCAAATACATCTTCGCACAAGTAAACCACTACGGAAAATATGGGGGTTTGTTCTATCGAATCAATAGTCGACCACAAACACAAATGGAATGGATAACACAATATTGCAGTAAAAAATAAGGTCCTCATCGGCAATAGCATAGTCGACGCCCAGAGATAGGCAGCAAAACCCAATGAGATCCATCCACAACAAAAGGGAACAAAACTACAGATCTAATCCTGGCCGGAGAATCATCCAGCAATTGAACAACCTACAGGAAACAGGTGACGCGAATCGAAGATCAACTTTAGAGCTTGAAAGAAGTGAGCGAGCGAGGGAGTGCCAATGGGACGCGGAGGGCACGCGATCCAGCGCGTTCTACTTAAAAAGAGAGCGGAACCCTAATTATCACCGAATCTATTTACGGCCCCCAACCGGTCCGGCCCACGTGATGTGGGCTACCTCAGGATGGGCCCAGCCTATTAGCCACCACCGACCGTATTATAAATAAGTGTAAAACAATTAGATTAATCATTACTTTCATTTGTTACATCCATAATCTCATGATATTGAATATGTGTATATACATCTATTTATTTACGTATTTCTTATTGATTTATCTGTTCCTCTATAATATATAAAAGGATGGACTTTAATGCTGAGGTTGCTAGAGCGTTTGAGATGGGTGGTTTTTGAATAAATTCTTAATCCTCCTTCTGGTTTTTTTTTTTTTTGAAGATGAGATTAGAACTCAACACATTTTGAGTCATCCTTAATCACGTTCAGTACATTTTGAGTTATTTTTAGCTAAGTCCAACATATTATAAGTCTTCTTTATAATATCATGCGGTCGATAGATCAGAAACATATGAACAACACCGATAAATGATAAATGATCGACACATTAATACTACATGACTAACATTTCGTTATCATATTGACTAATACTTTAGTGTCATGTGGTTGTCACCTCAATATCAATGTAATACAATCATGATTAAGCACGAGATAAACATACAATCGTTCTTCGTAATTGATGTGGAGCAATAGTTATAAGAGTCCATTATAAAAAGACTCTCTCAAGTACGCTCCTAAGATTTTTTTCCAATATTATTTGAAATATTAATCGAATCCTTTGAACTCAAAATTAATTTAAACATCGGAGAGGAACTGTTCTAACGCAATCATATAAGATTTAATATCTCTAGAATCGAATGAGTGTGGTATCGATCAAGATTAAACTATAACAAATGCAAAAGATGAACCTCAATTGACTTGTGATTTATATTCATATGGAACAATCAAATCTTGAGTTAAACAGGATGAAACAGAACGTAAAAAATAGTAGAACTCATACGTGATTGCTAATTTTTTATTGTAGCACATTTATTTGACATTCCATAGAGGCTAATGCCAGTTTTGCTCAAAGAACTTCCATGTAACTATAAATGAATGCAACAAGCAAAGACTTGCCAGCAAAATAAACAAAAAAGGGTGCCGAGAGTCGACCAAAAACCCCCCCTCCAACACCATAAGTTAGAGGGCATCACATTTGACACCAGCTTGATGAGCTCGGAATTGACACAAGAGGATGGAAAGAAGGTGCTTGGTTTTGGAAAGAGCAGTCTCGTATTTGGAACTTTCTTCGGAAAATTCACATACATCAAAATCAAGGGAGACTTGACTTTGAATCGGTGGGAGTCGGGCATTAACATCTCCGACTTTTCTTTGGTAGAGGGCATCACATTCGACACCAGCTTGATGAGCTCGGAATTGACACAAGAAGATGGGAAGAAGGTGCTTGGTTTTAGAATGAGCAGTCTCGCATTTGGAACTTTCTTCGGAAAATTCACATACATCAAAATCAAGGGAGACTCGACTTTGAATCGGTGGGAGTCGGGCATTAACATCTCCGACTTTTCTTTGGTAGAAGAGTAAGGGCTGGCAATTAAACAACGACGACCAAGTCACAACCAATCAACTAGTTATTCTTGAGCTGTAGAGAGAAATGGTGATGAGTTTCCAAATCTACATTCTATATTCTTTCAAATGTTTACCGATTCTTTGTTGCTCTTTGCACTCTACGATGTTTGTCTCCTAAGTTTTTCTAAGCATCTTTCT